ATGAAGTGGAAATCCATAAGCTTCATGAAAAAACTCGCACAAATACAGACTATGGTGAGAGATTGTGCCACACACTCTCAAAGAAACTGAGGAACCACCTGATCGGCATCAGTTATTGGGGGTGGATCACATCCACCCTGATTGAATTGGCCTTGTCAACACTGGTCTTTAAGGTGCCACCGGACTCCTCCATTGGATTTATGGCTTATTACAACAATCTGTAACCCACTAACATTTCCCTCTCCCCCCCCCCCGCTCCCAACTGCCTTCCGAGAGGTTTTAACAAGTCACTTCACCTTGAATGGTCCTTTAGTATAAGTAGTTAGCACATATTCTAAACAATCTGTTCCACCTTGTGTTTAGCTGTGATGCTCTGAATACCTTTCCCAGCCCTGAAGAAGAGCTCTTTGTGGTTCCAAAGCTTGCCTCTCTCACCAACTGACATTGATCCACTAAAAGATCTCGCCTCCCCTCCCCTGTTTCTTTCGCATCCTGGGACGGACACTGCTACACCAACACTGCAAACATCTCATGAGTGGTCAGCCTTGTCAGTCTCTTGCAAACAAGTCTATATCCTGCTCCAACCCTCTATGCCAGGCCCCAGCCCTGTCAATTGCAAGCTTAACTGTTGTGCAGGTATAAAACTTCTCTAGCCTGTTACTGAGGGCCTGAGCGTGTAGCCATTTAGGGTGTTGGCAGTGCTCCCAAATCCCAAGAGAAAACCCCTTCCAACAGACCAGCTAGCACCCCTGGCATTGTGGTTCCCCTACATGCCCATGCCCCTTATAACTCGGGAGGGCAGCAGGAGCAGGGCTAGCACAGAGGCATTCATAAGAATGGCCATACTGGGTCAGACCAATGGTCCATCTAGTCCAGTATCTGGTCTTCTGACTGTGGTCAGCGCCAGCTGCTTCAGAGGGAATGAACAGAACAGGGCAACTTTCAAGTGGTCCAGTCCCAGCTTCTAGCAGTTGGAGGCTTAGGATGCCCAGAGCATGGATTTGCATCTTCCTTCTGAAACACAGGTCAGGAGAACTGTGGAACAGGATCTGTTCCAAGTAAGTGGGCTGTGGAGAGAGCAGGGCCAATGGCCTCTATTTCATGTTATCTATGGGTGTAAAGTCAGTTAAACCTGTCCAGAAGCCTTTCATTGTGCATTCACACTAAGCTTTTCCTCCTCAGACGCAGATGAGTCTGGTGCTACTTCTTTTGTTCTTGGCTCCAAGACAAATCACACCTTAAGCACAAGTCAAAGGTAAAAGCTAACTCTCCTCTCACGTCTTCTCAGATCAGGCTGGGTCCCTCACGGGCGTGAATGTCCCAGCTCTACTAGTGATAAGAGCTATGGCACTGGCAGTGCTGCTAACTGGGATAACTTTATTGCAAGTCTCATGATCCTTGGTGGCTTTTTTTTTTTTTTGTAAAGCCCCAGCGGCTGGGAAGCGGAATGATTTACAAGTGTCTAGCCCTGCTAGTTGAGAGGAAAGGTTGAAAACATGGACTGTGTAAGCCTAAATGCTCAGTAACCAGCAGGCAAAAAGAAACCAACTCCTAGGATTTCATGGGGTTTTGAGGCCTGACTTTTAGGCTGGTTTGTGTTTACCACTTGGGGCTGGCCACACTGTCTGGCCAGCTGGGCTCTTGCCCCTCTAACAGCTCTGTGCACTCCTGCAATAGTCACTCATGGATACTGCCGTTCTAGGTGGGTGACCAGAAATCTAACAGAACTTCCCTAGAAACATCCTTACAATACCCAAGGCTGTAATGGGCCTGCTTCTGCTCATGTTACACCCATGCAATCTGCAGCCCTTAGGCTGTGCAGGTGTAACTGAGGTCAGAACTGGGACAGTACATGGTTCTGCTGGGCATAAATGGAGCCACCAAGAGAACTGCTTGGAGACTCCTGCCTGAGTTTGCAGGGGTGGGAAAGAACTGATGTGTCCAGGTCTCACAGATAATGTGAACACTGTCACAGGGCAGCTGGCCCCATAGGTCTTGGCCCCATCTGTGACATGTTTTTCCCCAAGTGGGGAAAATGAAAGTCATGTGACTGGGTCATGTGACCCACCAATCAGGTCTCTGTGATAGGTAAGGAAAAGTCCTGGGGAAGCTGCAGAGAAGGCGGCGGCTCCAGCTGGGTAGGACTGGGAGCAGCCTGCCAAGGCAAGTAAGGCTCCAGGCAGAAAGGCCTGTGAGTGGTGTGATGAGTGGGAAGGAGGCAGTAATCATGTTTGAAATACGTTGCTCTGTTTCTGTCCACCCCCGCACCCCATGCGTGAGGGAGGAAGCCCAACCCAATTTCTGCTCCTTTGAGTCTATCAGGATCCAAAACATCTGTCAGGGCTAGAGTCTATTAAATTCCATTAGCAATTTCACAGACATGCATGGAGCTTCTCCTAGCTTATACCCATGTAACTGAGAGCATTGGGGCTCCTTGGTCCTTAACCCTTCTCATGGCTTAGGGCTTGTCTTCACTTAGGCCTTGTCTACACTACGAGAGTAGTTCGATTTTACTTGCATCGAATTTTTGTAATCGATATTGCAAAGTCGAACGTGTGTGTCCACACTAAGGACAGTAATTCGACTTTGTGCGTCCACACGAACGGTGAAAGCGTCGACATTCGAAGCGGTGCACTGTGGTCAGCTATCCCACAGTTCCCGCACGTCCCCTCTCGCCCATTGGAATTCTGGGTGTAGCCGGCAATGCCTTCTGGGTAACAAAATGAGTCGAGGGTGCTTTTTGGGAAACTGTCGTCATCCGTCCATCACTCCCGCCCTCCCTCCCTGAAAGCGCCGGCGGGAAAT